CTCTAATATTCATTGTGTTTGCACACTCGATGACGTCGTCGCTGAAATGTGCACTAAGATCGTCCCACAAGAGTTGGAACGCGTTTACATCTTTACCTTTGCGATGGCCGAAGTGGTAGTGAAGGAACTGCTTGGAAATCTCACTGTTCCACCATGCCGTAGGATTTCCAAACTAGCGGGACGGGTGTCGTACGTGCAGCTCTTCAATTTCGGACCACACTCGTGGTCCAAAGCCATTTCGCAGGGTAAAGTTTTCAACCACTTTCGCCTTGATTGTTGACGCTTTTGACTTTAGGACCAAGAACAAGGAATATTTGTTCCCCTTGGTGTCGCCCAGCACCATTGCTGTAATTCGATCTTTCTCGTTGCCGGCGCATCGCATCCAAACGGTCTTCGCTCCGCACTTGTTAATGGTTTGCTTCGGTATGTACTCAAAGTTGATGCCTGTTTGATTAGCATTGTAGATCTCGGTAATGTTCTTATCTTGAATAAGTTGTCGAAGTTGTTTACTGAACTCTGCCAAGGCTGCGTCGCCTTGCGCTAGGTGCGCTTGCCCGGACCTCGTTTTTGCTCGCATAGCTAGCTTCCAACGTTTGATAAAGCCCGTAATCCAACGGTGACTTGCTTTGAACTAACTGAGTGAGGCTTAGTCCAACGTCTTTAGCCACTTCAACACCTTTACATTGCAGCAAAAACCTGCTAACAGGAATGCCGTGGGATCGAAGTTCCTGCACCCAATGCGCGACTTGTTCTTCATGTTCTCTTGAAAGAGTAGTTGCCGTCCCAAGAGGTCGTGTATTCTTGTAGGTGGATTTTTGCCATGTTGGTTATATGCGGTCGACTTTTTTCCCACCGAATTATGCGTTTTTGTGCTGATCTACGAGCTACGCTCTGGGCACCACAGAAGAACGTGTCCAACGCCGATTCCATTGAGTGCTGCTAGCACCAGTTGATGATGTGGAGCTGCTTCGCATAGCTGAAGTACAATCGCTTATGCTGTGGTGGTCCACGTCGGTGGCAGTTTTTGACGGATGGTCTTCCGGTAGCAATTCTGTGAGGTGTTTTGGTGCCAGGCTGCGCCATGTGTGATTTACAATTGCGTTTTCCCGCCAAATGGCCCTCATGTCGTTCCTTTAAAATCGATACTTTATTGTCTTTCGAGGGACACCAATGATGAAGGGGTCTTGCATATTTTTATAATTGGAACTATAATATTTGAAGGGTAGTTTGTGTTCACACATGACAAATAAGTACTTACACACAAAGAAAGCACTTGTGCACTCTGTGCAATGATCCAATCATACGTGTCAATTCCCGAATTGAGGAGGCATACGCACAGCTTGAATTTATCTTCAAAATTTAATTGTCAGTCATGTACACCCTGCTCAACCTCGCGCAATATTTGTAAGACAGAGATATTTACTTTTTAGGAAGGTCTTTGATAAACTGCGCAGGATGGAATCTTGGCCATATAATACTTTGATTGGATAGTTCTTTTTTCACTTTTGTCCAATTAAAACGTATCATTGCTTGACAGTTGTCGACACGATTTTGTTTCACAACATGTCAATGTGGTTATGTCATCCTGTTCACCTTCACAGCTTCGTGGCGGCCGCGGAGCACCATCCGGCAACGGCAACGTCGTTATTCACCAAAGCTCGTCCTCGTGTTTCTTGCGCCATCTGCAACGACGCCGTGGATCGCTCCCGCAAGGAGATTACAACAAGACCAACCTGTACGTGTGTATCGTGCAACTGCGTCGTCCATCGTCGGTGCTTGTCGGAATGGCACGAGCAAACGACATCCACGCGCCATCGAAACGGAAAATTGCATCTCTCGCTGTGCTCTGTCACTGAAAATGTCCGTCCCACGCCTTCGTCGCAGTCGTTACCGCCATCGCCACCCAACAACACACAGCATGACCTCCAGCTTCTCGAGCACCTTCGTCTGGACCCGACGTTGCCGGAATCCCCACTGCACCGCTCTCAGCTCCCTCAACCATTCAACAGTCTCGCTTACGTCTACATCCAGCGCTACGCCCCTTACGTCGCTGGCGGCATTCTCCTGGGTGGCGCAGCTATTTTCGGCATGCCAGCCGTTGCCCTCACAGGTCTAGGCGTGAGCATATCCGGCCACACATGGACACAACGCCGTCAGGTTGCGACTTTACCGTCACATGACCAAACTTGGATCGAATGAGTATTCACCGAAACGACTTCTGTAGTCGTCGCCTAAGGACTCGGACTGGGCACGCCGCATTTGCTGGGACTTGAAGCAATCGGCCACTGGCACTGACTTGTCGTACAAGCAAGATGCAGCTCTTCTTCGAAGGTACATGGCCCACTCTTCACTCTTGTGCCATCGAATCAATTGCGCATATATATGTTAAACAGATACCACAACCCGACGACGGACCGGCCATCAGCGGACGATATTTACCGCTTGCTGTATCACTTGTTTGCATCGCGTGACGAGCTCATCGGGCGCGTCAACAGCGAGCTTTGTGAAGCATTCCGCGCCCGCGCCAAGGCATCCACGTACGGGAAATCGCTTTTACAAGGATGTGAGCCATTGGACGATATAGTGCCCTTCCCGCCATCGTGCGCGATGTCCAAGTGTATGTCGGCCATGTGCTGGCAGTTGCCATGACTACGTACCCAGCGTTATCGAGCTCCGAAGACGCTGTTGTGCATACCACCGAGGCGGTCGAGCGCCTCGTGTACAGGTAGGGAGCGGTGCACAGATCAAATCCAGTCCCATCTTGTGTGTGTTTTGCGTGATATCACGGAATGACGCGATAGCGACATCTACTCCCTGGTGTTTGAAGCATTCCGTCGAGAATACGCCCGTCACGATGCCACTCTCACTGCCCACGTCCGCGAGGTACGTGCGTGAGAATTGAATTTCTCGTGTCACTATCAAGGAGGCAGTACATGGAGAAGCTATCCAACTCGAATCTCAATTTATAACGCAATTTAGGTTCAAGCTCGGCGTCCCGGTGGTTCAGTAAACTCCCAAGCCGTCAAGGTATGCCCGTCCTGCCCCCGTCCCGTTGCCAACGTGTTGTTGTGCGTGTAGGTTCTGGTCCGCCTTGGCCAACTTACGTACCCGTGGGGCAAGCTCCAAGTCCTCGGCGAAGCGTTCCGAGTGATGTGCACGGAAGTAGAAGCCCGGCTGACCACGGCCCCGAGCGCCGACACGGTGCTGCCCACGACAATGGACTTGATCGTGGACGGGAGCGGACTCACGCCGCACTTTGTTGCTCAATTGGCATTTGTGTCAACCTTGACCAAAGGGGGTGGCCGCGGGGTGGAAGGCTACGCATTGACCACGTTTCATGCTGCCCTACGGGCTCTCGCAGCAATCGATCTCCAGGTCAGTACCAACATGATGTCTCGTCAAGCCACTACGTGCTTCGTTAAGAATGAATCGATTTTGCTGAGCAGGATGGTGTTGCATCCGTCGACGAATTGGACGACGACGAATTTTTCGACGCCGTCGACGATTTACCACGATAACACGACGCTGTCTCGCTGCATCTCGCAAACACGCCGCAGCGCCGGCAACCTACATATTCGCATCAAGCGAAGTGTTGTTGTCGTCCAGAACACTCGATCGAAACCTTCGCGATGGATCTTCCAAGCGAATGATGATAGCAATTTTTCATTTACAACGGATAAGCTGCAACGACTTGGAGCTTCAGAGCGCATGGACCACGCTACAGCAAACCCCGGAAAAAGCCGACATGGTTTCATCCTGAAATGCATTCAGAATAACTAAGTTATTGGCACAAGTCTTTTTGACATGCCCATAATAAAATTTCTGAAATTCTTTTGGTTATCTCACCGTACCATCATGACGTGGGATTGCTGTACAAGCATAAGAGATGCCGATGGTTGAGTTCTTCGACATCGGGCCACACAACATACCTCAAACCGTTGCGTTGAGTCAGATTTTCAAGCAATTTCAACTTGATCTTTGACTCT